TGATCGTAAAGTACTCGTGGGCAGAAACTGGGAGATACTCCAAAACAATGAATGGCCCAAATTCGTGCCTCACCGATTGGTGAATTATAAAAGTGAACGAGCTTGGACTAGCTACAACTACAGTATCCGTCCACAGTAACGTGAGTAGCAGTTTTGCAGTGAACACTCGCCAAAAACCTACAAAAATAACTCCTTGCTCGGGACTTTGTCACCATGTATTCGATCATCTGGCATATAGTAGATGGAATTTTGATCGGCCACGAAAAATGCCAACCACCAACCAAACGACGACGTCACAGCGGTAATCAGAAATGAGCGACATACTTGTGAAGCAACGTAAAAATCGATGGCTTCACTGAATTGGGAGACGTACGCAGCCTGAATTCGATTCTTATATCGTTCCAATTGCATCCTTTTTTAGCTTCAGTTCTGGCCGCCATTGGGCCAACCTTCGTTTTTGGGGAGGGGCTCTTGAACTCCTTCTGGAGACCTCTCCTGCTACTTAAACGTTCTCAGAAAGAATGAGCAGCTGAATGTGACACTAGGGGTCCTATCTGTGGGCATGCTTCAGCCCTTAAATCACCATCATGCTTTTGGTTCTCAACCAGTCCCAAAGAAAGTCGTCCCAAGAGCAGTTCCTGATATAAAAGAGATTCCTGGATGTAAAAATGGTTCCAGACGTACACAACGGATATATCGCCACTATAATATCATTAGCATTAAATTTCTCTTCATATCCCTCCTGTCCTCTGCTGGTATTCATATCAAGCCGAAAAATTTTAAACAAAAGAAAATTTCAACTTTGTCTATTTTCGATAGGAGCTGCAAAACAGGTGGGGAAGCGACTATTGGCGCTGCGGCCACTGCCAGGGTAGGAAATCGAGTATCGGATCGAATCCGTTCAGACCAACCAGGCCTTCCATTCCATTTCTTCATGCTTGTTAGATCGAGGTCAGACACAGTTGAGAGCATAAAAGCACCAATTTGCACATGAGCTGAGCTCCGCAATTCAACCCACAGAGTAAAAAATTATCGAAACAAATTAAAAGTAATGTGTAAACTTAGTTCGTTGGAGCAGATTCTTTCCACAAGTTTCTGAGCATAGGACCTGATTTTATTAAAACGATCCCCATACGCTTGGATGAGACTTCGACTGCGCGAGAATTCATTGAAAGATGTTTCTTGCAGGACACCATCAAAGAACTAAGGTTGTGGTGAGACTTACTAGCGCATGCCTTAGGGCCAAAGAAAATTTTCACATAAAAACAAAACAAAACCAGGATCTTCCGATTCAAGCATTTCAATGCTTGCCATCCATCCGCATTCGAATCCGATATTGCCGACGTGGAACGGGACGAAGAAGGTGTTGACTTCTACGAAAGATCCTGGTTTTATTAGTTTTCATGTAAAACTTTTCTTGTTCTTGTTCTGTCAGAGAGGTTTCCCACACCCTTGAACTTCGCCACTATTTCCGGTACAAAACTTACTGATATATCCAAACAACGAGAGATCTCATTCGAACAGAATAGGTTTTGGCGCAGAGCAGTATCGGAATCGGTAGTGACAGAATCGAGAGGAAAAAAAGTGGACTTTTGGGAAAAAAAACCTTTATATTGAACTTGATAAGATATATTTCGAAGCCCATAGCATATTGCGGTTAAAGTCTTTATTGTTCTCCTATCATGTTCTCCCTTTGTGAGATATCGAGAGATCTAGAGCACTAGGATTTGACTGTTTCTTTTTACGTTGTGATAATACTGCCCATCTCCAAAATAAACAAAAGAAAAAGTAGCCCCTAAGAAGGTACTCACGTTACGGTTCCAGTTTCCCGTCCTAATAATAACCTTGGTCAGATTGTACATGAAATCCTTATCGTCACCGAATATGAGAAACCGATCCACACCCTAAAAAGCTACGGTAAAGTTGATAACCCTCGGTACAATTTCCAAAAAAAAATTTGTTCAAGGCCCACTTTTCCTCTAGCAATATCATTCGCTGCCGTAACCGTTTCCATCATGTTAGTTGAGATGTTTCTCTCCAGGAAATCGGTTCGTCGGATGTGGATACACAGAGCGCTTTGGTTAGGGCGGTCCCAGAACGAAAATTCGCCTTCTTTGCTTGAGTAGTTGCTGAAATAATGGTTTGTTTGAAAATGCTGTACAGCGTACGCAACACTGAAGAAATCTGTACAACGTACGCTTTCAGGGAGTCCAACAAGAAACCTCCTTCGCTGGTAATATTTGGAGAAAATTCGAGAAGTTCGTGAACCTCATCGATCATATCCTCAAAGTAGCGTGGATTTTGTGCAAAAGAGAAATCCAGAAGAAGGAACTTGTCGGGATGGTTCATCAACCTAAATGTCATCATTATTGATAAGGCAGTCTTAGGTCAGAGTACTCGTTTATTGATGCTGTGAAGAAGAGTTTCAGTCTTCATCTGAACTGTATAAAGCCTGTTCCCTTGAGCTAGCCGATTAGTCAGGCCCTCCTAAAGGGCAAAAGCTCTTCCAAAGTCTTCTCTCTAACCAAAGTTCCCTACCACGGTGTTGCGGTTCTCGCCTAAACCTCACCCCAGTACACTTGAAAAATGCATAACGATTTAGTATACAGATATTAATTCACTGTCAGAAGGAAAGCAAAGCCTATACGATAACTGGTCGATTTTTTTCCAGCGCACTGTTCTCTTTCTTTTTCGAAGAAGAAGAAGAAAGAAAGTGAACGTAGACTTAAGTACGGTGCATATCACAGTAGCAGTCAAGTGTTAGTGCAATTCAAAGGTAGATCCGAACACATGGCGCACCCCTCTACTGACACTTCATTAGTTATATATCAAAAAACTCAGCATACCTTCTGGGATCGTCATAAACACAACACGACTTTTTGGCAAACGGTACAAGAGTTCCATTGATTCGATCCTGAAATCCGATCATTAGAAGCGGAAGCCCTCAGAAAACGAGTCCTACCTGTTACCTACTATTCACTTATATCTCGCTAGAATTGTCATTTCAATCTATCTGCACCTTCTCACTGAGATAGAGTAAAGTACGCTCAAATGAGGCTGGCGATATTTCTTCTCAGACACTGTTATATGTATATGACCACTCTTTGTGAATGACTATACTGGTCAAAAATATTTAACTTCGTGATCGAGTCTATCTGGGGTTACTTTGAGAAATGCCTCTTCGGTTTAATTGGATACTGGGTGACCGTACTCTAGAAGCTCTTGAGGTTTCCGCAATAACCCGAAATCTTTATCTGGAATCCTTTTCAATGAGCTGAAGCAACTGCGTTTTACCAATCTCGATCGGTCACACGAGTCTATCTGCTTCTTTGTAAAAACGTTCCCACTTTTCCGGAGGCATCTCAGTATTTCGTGCTGCTTCGGCGGTACTGAACTGCTGTAGGCTTCAGTCGATACTCGTTCAGGAGATTGCCTCCGTTTAGCAGACGACTCTCGAACATTCCGAAAAGATCGAATAAAGCAGGATGAGAACCAGTCAATATCGATCAATCGCATAAGGGTTTTCCTTGATGTTGCCAAAACATCCCCTTACTACAGCGGAGTTGAGTTTTTTTTTCGAAAAAAAGGGGAACCAAAACTTGTTGCTCAGGAATACCTAATATTCCACTGAGACGGAAAACACAGCCGAGCAGAAGATATTTCCACCCACGGGTGGCGCAGCGGCCTTCAGAAATGTGGCTCTTAATCCTCGTCATCATGGGGTAGGGCAGAACACCGATGCAGGTCTCAAGCAAACAGCCAACAAGGGGCCAGCCGCCAAGTAATGCTCTCGTGATTTCCCTTTAGAAGTTCATTCGCAACTTCCGCAGACAATTTTACCGAGCATCGAAGGTAATAAGCTGTAGCAAGTCAGCGACAACGACCTGATTCGCAAGTGGAATCGTACCCTTCTCATTGGCTATGGGATGGATACTGCCATTGTCAAAAAAAACTTGATCCAACCTAATTTGACAAAATAAGATGTCTTTCGCAGCCGCTCTTCCCCCTTACCCTGTCTCCCCCATATTGAGACCAGTTGGAGATGTTTTAACTGATTTTGTAGAAAACTAGGCAAAGTAATTCTCACCTTTTCTACATAGTATGTTCTTTCTAAAGCTGGAAACACATGCTTGAATAGTTCCAAGTATTTCAAGACAGTTCCTCGACATTCGTCTTCATAAGGCAAATAATGAACTCGTCCGATAGTTTTGGCAATAGCGTAACCGGTTATGAGGTGGAATAACTAGAAATTGAAAACCTCAGGTATTGAATACGGATACATTACAATTTCCACTCATAGTGATGGTTTTTGTGCCATGATCTGCCCTTCACTTCAGCATCCACCCCCCTTGGACCCAAGATTTTCCTAAGGTCCACTGTCCACAAACAGCCCTGGCCAATCGATGTTATCCATAACATATTTGTATTCATCTCATTGGGAAGGTTCGTGAAAAGAGTTGCCATATCTAATGGAATTAGAGCCGTATGAAAGGTGAGTACCTAGGAAAACGACAAGAACCCTAAGAAGGGACCCCTTAGTGAAATGAAGGCCGACTCGAAATCGTGAAAGGGTATGGTTCATAAAAATCTAAGCGCCTGGTTCGATCTTATAAGGTCACAGTTTTCACAGCGAAACCAGCCTTTAAAACAGGATCGAAACACGGAAATCGGAAGAAGTATGGGGAACTATTCTCAGGACCAACTTCGAAAATGGGAAACCCACTTTGCCTCGTTCTCTTAATAGATATGAGCAGTAGCCTTTCATTTCATTGGGCGATGCTATTCAATCCAATTCACAAACCAAGCCAAATAAACTCACTTGATTACCCATTCGTCCGCCATTCAAATGGAGTCCAACAAATTTCGTTCCACCTTCACCAATTCCCCCGACTTTTCCAGATTTCTCAGCAGTACTGGACATGAGCCACCAATGAAGCCATATCATAAGACAGCATTGAAGAAATATTATCCATTTGAATGAACGCCTCCAACACGGACTCATAGGTTTTTGAGCTGGAATAGCAATCATTCGCTGCAAACGTTTGGCACCATTATGACTGTCATCATCACCGTTGTTATGAATCTAAGTATTTACCGAAACATAGCACAATCAACGAAACTTTCCTGCTCATTTGGGTTAGTGACATGAAAGAAATTGTCAAAAAACCACAGTACTATTATATATCATTTGATAAGTACTAAAAAACTAATAAATTGAATATTTCTAAGAAATGAACTGACCGTCTACAGGTTGGCTTTCTAAATTCGTTCCCTCATAAGGCTCCGAACGATTCAAGGCGAGCTGAAATTGATTAATCACAAACAAAATTATGAAACACTGTAAAATTTAAGAATTACAACGGAGCGTTCCGTAGATTGATCGTTCGGCACGTCGAAGTATGTCAGAAACTTCATTTACGGAATAATTGGAACATCTAATAAGTTACAGTTCCGGATGTCGATGCAAAAGATTGTGAACTGGTTTTCTATTCACTATGAAGGGTGAAATGGGGCAGTAAGAGCTACGTCTGAGGCATATATAGACCGAGGATCAAATCTCCGTCAGTTCGGCGCTAGACCTTCTACCCTGGAGGAGTTAACTGACCGCCTGGAACTCAAATTGGACATTCCTCTCCCCTCCTCCCCCGATTACAGCCAAAGGTCATCAGGAAAGTTTGAGTGAAGGACATGCGTGGCGCATCTGAGAGGAGCTTGATTAGAGGCAAATGACTTATGAACTAACCTTAACCATATCGAATTGATATGAAAATTCCTCAGCCGTTTATGAAGATAGATCGTCCCATAGGGTTCCTCAGAACGGTTTCATAGACACATATAGAAATTGCGTAGTTCCAAGGTCGGATCACAAGCCACAGACTTGAATAGAACATGGTCTGTTGAGCTCCTTCCCAAATTTGTTTCTATAAAAGCACAAGAAAATCCACAAAAAGGAGTTCATGAAGTATTGAATAACCCAGAAACGTCGCACTCTGTCATCATACTATTTTTTTATGTCTAAGAACATTTAAATTGGAAAGAATGGCTGGGAAAATGATTTGAAATAAGGATACACATTCAATTATTCTATCGGCTCTTGGATATATCCACTTGACATATGTAAACATCGCATTGAACGAATCAGTACATAATTAGTTGAATTAGTAAATTCAAAACAAGATAATGATAGCAAAAAATACGGTGAGTAATGATGAGTTAATGGTAATGAAAACATGGTAAACAACTGAATAAGCTAATAAACATTTTGTATTGTGAGTTTAGAACAATGAAAATGGTACAAAAATGAAGCAGGTTGCAGACCCACTACCTTGGCCATTTCTTTTTCGACCCCTTCTACGCCATGATATTACTCGTACTCTAACTGACTGCAGTCTAATCAACCGATAATAAGATGATTAGATAGATCAAATTCGTCATTTTGTTCTACCGACAAATACCCAAATACGAAAATTTTTCTAAAATTCAAAAGGACGATATTTACGAGTCACTTACCCTCCGTGAAGCTCAATAACAAGTTCATTACCAATTCAAGTAAAGAAAAAAGATTAACTGCATCCCTGGTAGAGATGGCACAGTGGCGAAGGAATATGCTAGCCACAGGATCGATCCCAAGAAGCCAGTCCAATCCAATCAAACTTCCTGCAGCTTCTGAGCATTCAGTCTAGAACAACTATCTGGAACCTAAGCCAGCTTTTATCCCTTTTTGCACGACAAAGTTTCAGCTCCGTGCCCATTCAAATACCACTGCAATTATCATTTGAAGCCGGCTGTACGGCGTACCCAAAACAATCGATACTGACAGAAGTATGACTTTTATTTTGAAAAAAAAAACACGTTTTACAAACACACACAATTCATTGCGTGCTATCGATAGAATTGTCATAATTGGCTCTAGAAAAAACCCTTTTTGTATTTGAATAAAGAATAAAGCTATCTACTACAAGGCATATTGACAAATGCATAATCACCTAAAAATGCGCAGCGCAATAACAAAGGGGAACCTCAACGATATATGGTAATAGTGTACACAAAAACAACGATGATTACAATTCCTTGCGGTTGGTTTCAGAGATTTTCAATTTGCAGCTGCCCATTTCTGCAGCTCTTCCATTTCGGTGTCCATTCGGCGGAACTTGTCACGACTGGCTCGTGATCGGGTGATGGGTCCAGCTGGTACGTCCGGAAGTTCGACCGCAGGTACATTATTCTGCAAGCATCAAATGTTGAACGTTGCAAATTCATATCTATCTATGTATTTAATTAAATATTTATTCATTGCCTGAGGGATCTCATAGAAGGACAACGAACATGAACATTATTTTATGGCATAAGAAGGGATTGGGGGCCTAGTATTAAGTTTGGTGTCATCCAAGTTCGTACCAGGGTCTAAAGGAAAACCCCGTACCGTACACCTCCACGAGGTCAGCTTCATTGGCAGATACATCGGATGTACTTGATGATTTTTTATATACAAGGTTTGAATATCTGCCCCGAAATCGAGCTGTACAAAATGTGCTACGGACAAAATACTAAGATGTTCCCTTCATAATTCACATCTATGTTCCTTGAAGGATATTCATGTATGTCACTGACGATATTTATAGCTGAAAGCCTCAATCGATAGAATTTAGCTAGAAAAGGGTCATGTTAAGTGGACATCGAGGACCAAGATGAATACGCTCCAGATTGTCTCTACTGCTGCGAGGTATCGAAAAAAAGGCCAATATCTTGAGCAGCGCTTTCAAGGGGGAGGAGGGCGACAGGAAGCCCATACAAAATGACTCAGGATTTTCTCGACTAAGGTCGGGGTTGGCTTCGAAAGCGAAAAAGGAGAATAGATTACAGAAACCACTGAGAGACTAAAGACTTCACTAGTCAAGCAGACTAGACAGAAACGATAAATTTGACTAATTTCGCAGAGTACTGTCCTTTGAAAGCGGAAGATTTCCAAAAGATCTCGCGGACCTCTCGCATGATAAGGTTAAATTTGGAATCATCTAATTTGAAAATCAAGACAATTCATGACAATGACTTCAAACTTACCTTCTCAAGATCCTCAAGTTCTTTAAGCAATTCGTCCTCGTCATGAACATCACCTATAGGTTGACTGATGGCGTTGGCGAACTCGTCAGACAGTTGCAAATCTTCAGCTATACTGTCCATCAGATCTCCAACCTTAAAGTAGCAGTAAATAGCTGATAGGTCAACCAGGAGAAAGATATTCAAAGAGAGTTTCTTGAGAGGCTAATCGAAGCAGGGTCGTAGGGTTAAGGAAGACCGAACCTTGTCTAGGTCAAAGTTCTGGTTGGCTATCTGTAGAGCCTTCGTAGTTTGATCCAGCACTCCCAATACTTCCATATTGAGACCAGCACCCTCAAGAGCTGTTCGTTGTGCTTCAATTTTCATCATCACCTTAAACAAGAGAATTTGCTTGCATATTAATCTCATTCGATGAAGACAATTAAAAAGAACAAAAATGAGATCAAGCTGGCTTTCATGGCACATTTATTTGAAGCCCTTTAAATTAGTCTCAAACTCGCAAATACAATAAACTATGACTACGATCTCAGGTAAAAGGGGAATTCATGGCGTATTTCGTGTCCTAACAAAAACCTCAAAAGTCGTCTCGAATTTGTATTTTATTGTTTTCCATGTGTCATAGTGACTTAAAGTTAGTTTGACTCCATTGAAAAGCTGGGCTTACAAGCATTGAATACTTCTTACTCAAAGGCGGTCCTCTAACTCTCCATTTCATATCAGCGAATGACAATTTTAGAGTGGTTTCTTAGTTTTGACCAGACTTCTGAGTAATTCGCCTCCCTATCAAGAGTACTGGAAGGCTTCACACTCACAACAAAACCTACGATCTCGACGTAAGGTTAACATGCGTTGCATCTACTCAGTTCTTATTTATCTTTGACCTTGTAACCTTCTCTCCTCGCTACTGAATGAAAAGGCTTTCGAAGACTTACCATCAAAATCAAAACAGCAGGTCTAAGAAAAAGATGATCGACTTACCCCATCGATCCGTGACAACTCCGTTTCGTAGTGCTTCTTTCGTTTCAGAGCTGCCAATGCTGCTTTTTTGTTTTTCTGCCCATGTTTCTTGGCATTCGCGATTTCCTGTACGAAAAACCTACTGTATTTACGGCTCGACGGGATGGTGACAGAAAAAATGAGGTTAAACTTACGGCGCTGATTTTATCTTCGTAGAAAGTTTGCTTCTTCGCCAAGAGATCTTCGAT